CCAAGAACTCATAAGTGACTCTGGATGATGATACAATTATATGGAGACATAATGACAGATGTAAACCACTGGCCACTGTATTTAGATCCAGTGAATCAATAATGGCGTGTCTTAGTGATAACTTGAGAGATCGAAGCTTGATTCTTAGCACTCACACAGGGTGGTAATAATGAAAACTTTATAGTTAAAACAAGCCAATTCAGATTTTATTATTTTCTTTAGTGATCTAAGTGCTGTATTTCAATTGCCACAATATTTACCTGAAAAATTAACTCAGTTAAGGTAATGACATTATGAAAGATCTCTTAACAACCCTTCATTTGACATCTAAAGTCTGATATGGTTAATATTTTTTATTAAGTAAACAAGATCATGAAATTCTACTGAATGCATGGTATTTAAATACTTTTACTTAAAATATAATGAGATTAAAAAATTTCATGACAAATTAATGAAATTATTTCTTTATCTTTTCACCGAGCAGTGATATCATTGCTCTGCGTTCACAACCAGTCGTAACATTTTTAATTATTTCAACCAGGTTTAAACCGTACTTCATTTCATAAATCTTCTTCACATCTCCTAGATCAATCTGTTTTGAAATTAAAATCAGTTAAAAGGCTGATTAGAAAGTATTAAACAGATAACAAATTTACCGAATTCTTATCTAACAATGATAATTTCTGTTTAACACTGCATAATATTATTTTTATATCATGCATAAGTTCAACCAATAGGCTTACGAAAAGTTGAAGGTAAAGTATAAAATTCCTGCTGAAATATTTGGTGATATAAAGGAGATGTAATAAGGATGTCAGATATTTTTAATTTTGCCTAATTTTAAAACAAATTAAAAGCCTCTCAAAACAGACTTAGACCACTGATTGCGACAAATTAAACTATAGCGTTGGAGTTATTCCACCTCGAATAGACAACCTCCAAGACGAAAATTATGCATCTAACTAAATTAACTATTAATTACCTAAACCTTTCAAGGTTGGTGATATTTTGAATAATAAATTTCTGAATTAAAATAATTGGTTGTTCCCATTGTTTTAGATCAGTACTTCTTAATTTGTATGGCCTCTGTGGGTCAGGAGTTAGTGGGATTTAATGTTTGGTATTCGGTCTCAAGACACGGTATTTATTGGCTTTCCGTAACGAACCCTAGTTGTAGCATTTTCATGACTCCCGCTCCTAACTACCCATAACACATTTGAAGACGTTATCGAACGCAAACGCGAGCAGTAACCTTATCATTCATATCCGCTTTTGGGGACTTCACTTACCATTTGTATCTAATATGTTTAAGTCAGTTACAAAAAAAATTGTCCTAAGAAAATCTCATAAGGAAAGTTAGAACCTACTTCAGATCGTGTAATAAGTAAACGCTGTAAAGATGCAGCGTCCAACGGCTTGTCAGTAATGGCTTCTTGAAACCATTTTGCTATTAGTTCCAACCTGTGTATTGCATAATCCACTAAAATTGATTGAAAAATAAAAGAATTTAATTTGAATGCCAAAAACTGGATTGATACTGAATAGCCATGAAATATGTCTGCTTCCTACAAACTGGAATGTGGAAATATCTCCTTTCTTTGCGCTCACAGGCTATTAATGCTGCTTCAATAATGATGTTCTCGGAAATACTCACTTTGATGTAAACTTTTTAGTTTTCAATCCAGTGACTATACATTTTTGAATTACATGAAGAAATTTATTTAGGAGGACTGATAAATGTGCATGTCTGTGTACATCAGTTTTTGATGTGGCTTCAAATTGACGTATGCGCTGAAGATGTCACTCAGTAGGGTGATGAAAACTTCGCAAATTAACCATCCAGCTCAGAGAACAAAACCACATCAAAATCATCCACCTGAGCTACAAATCTTCTCTATCATATCTACATCAGTTTTTCTTAAGGAATTGGAAAATAAAATGTTATCTTTTTCATTGGTGTAAAAATCAACTATAGTAATAATGCTTCATTGTGAACTAAAAGAAAATTGAATGCAGTTGTATGGAACTTCCAATAAGAAAAGTAGCCGATGGGGATTTACAAGCCTACAAAATGGACCGAGAAATAATTTAGATTTTACTTAAAGAAACAATACGGTTTTCAAACTCCTTAAACTAAATACCATTTCAGAATAAAATTGTTTTCCCAGTAGCAAGGCAACAGAGATCTAAAATAATTTGTAATTATACAAGAAGATACAGAACGATTATCATAAAGTCATTGCAAAATTTGAGTTACACCACAAAACATTTTGCTAAGGGTTGTAACGGTTTTTTTGTTATTTGCATAACGAAGGCAAAGTTCATTCAATAATGTACTTCAGCACCTTTTTTTCTATTATCCTAATTTCACCTCCCTTTATTGAAATACTTGTATTTCCCACTGGCTGCTTTATCGCTACTGTAACTTTTATTTTGACTTCATTCAGTAATGGATAACTTTGGAACCTAAATGGTTCATTTATAAGTCTTGACGTAATTATGTAAACTAATTCCAGAGTGACGAAGATTTGCCTTGCCTTTCGGATTCTGCTTTTGACTTCGTTATTCGTGCTATCGCGTGTAGTTGAAACGATGATGCTGCCCGAATAAGTGAAGGAAGTGACCTCTCTCAAATTTATTCCGTTGATAGGGATTGGTGCTTGTTGTTGGTTGGTTATCTTCACCACCTCCCTGTTCTCTACGTTCACCAGGAGTTCTGTCTTCTCTGGCTCCCTCTTCTGACAAATCATTGGTTGGCTTTCGACCGTACATCTACGAGTTTGACACGAGACATGAATCATCCGCAAATTCAACATGTTCTACAGTCTTCTTGCTGATCGGACGCATTCCTCTCTTGTCTCTCCCTTCAGCCTGCCAAATTATCCAGCCCACCACAATCGCAAATATCATCAGTGATAATAAGCAGACTTGTCGCACTCCTGTATTCACATCGAAATCTTCTCTGAGTTTTCAATCTCATTCAACAGCTTCGTGACAATGGCATATGTCAAGTGACACCTTTCTTCCAATCAGTAGATACCTTTCTTTCCTTCCAAGCTCTTGCAATAGTGCCGTCAACATATCCTCTGAAGTGTTTGGACCCGTTTTCAGTGCTTCAGGAGGAATTTCAGCTTATCTTGCTTTGCTCTTAGCCTTTAGTACCTTAACTGCATCCAAGACTTCTGCCTTTGTTGGGGGACTGGTGTCCACTGGTAGTTCTGTGAGAACTGTTCGTAGCATTTCTGGATGGGTGGCAGGTTACGGTCAACTCAGAAGTCCTTTGAAGTAGCCAGGTTATTACCTTCTTTGCTTGTCATTCTTGATAATTAGGTTTGATTGACCATCTTTTATTGATTTCATCATATGGGTTGGTCTCTTCCCGGATAGATACTTCGTTATCTGATATGTTCTAATGGTTTGTTTTACCTGGAGTTTGTTCTGTTTCAGATGACAGTGTGTAGTAAAGTTGTTTTTTGTCTTTCCTGGCACTCTTCAATCCTTTTTCAGTGCATTGTAGATAAAGCTAAGCCTCCCCTTGCGTTGTCCGTCTTTCCATCAGTTCATCTTCTGTTTTACTATCTTTATCTTCACTATTAGCTTACAGGTGATTGCGGAGAGCCATTCCTAGTTTTGCCTCTTCTTTCTTGAACTGTTGAACACGCATCGTTGAACATCATTTTCAGAGAGTTCAACTGCTCTTCCACATACATTTCCTTAGTAATGCTGCATAATAACTCCGATTTCGCTCTGATGGCTTCAGTGAAGGTACCTTTTGTAGTTTCGACTTTCAGTTCCTGAGTGTTAAACTTGGATTGTAGTATGTCTCCAGATGCTAATGAAGATTTTCAGACTCACCCTGAATGTTCATTGAACTTGGTAATGGTCTGACATTATATATATCGGTACATTTCAAGATGTGATAGTTTTATTATAATACGACTAATGAAATAAGAATGTGTGATTTCTCCAAAAAATAATAAGAATTCAGCATGTAAGAGTTCATAATACTTCACACCTCATTATTTTTGAAAATGAACTTACAAATATATAGCATTAATCTTCTATACTCTACTTCTGGTATTTCCTTCAGATACTCATCTAGTTGACTTCTCAGTGTTTGTCTATACATCTTTTTAAATGAATTATATATGCATTATAAAAAAGAAAGATTTCCCCAAGTAAATTATGTCACATCTATGTATACCAATAAAGGTTATCTTTAAACTAAATAAATATGTTCGTCACAACTGCTATTTACACTGTTTCCACTTGGTTCAGACACTAGCAACTGCAAAGTTATTTGCAGTGTCAGTCAATCAAAGCTGCCTAAGCACCATACCTTTATTACATGATTGGCTAGTGACGAAAATTGTCTTGTCGTTGCCAGTGTCTTGTTGATTTTTGACTTTTTTTTTTTGATTTACAGCTTGATTCCACACTGTATTTTTGGTACAAGTATGGAATTTTCAGCATGGATATCGGTAGCCCAAATTTTGCAGGCCAACCATAGATATCAGGTGTGCGCCGGCGTGGGCTCGAACCCCGGACCATGTGCATGGTCGGCGAGAGTCCTAACCACTGTGCCACCGACGCACAAATTTTAAGAACTGAATGATCAATGATTCGGAGTGGAATGTCTTTTTGTAGATATCAGCGGGTCATAAAGTCGCAACTAATAAAAAATATTTCACAAACTGTAAGTGTGACTAACTCCTCAGTAAAATGTCACCGATTCAGTGGAGTGATGATTTTTATTTAATCCTTTCAGCATGTATATGTATATGTTGTTTAGACTTGACACTAGTTGATCTAGTGATGCGATATCCAAAAGGTTGTGTTCTTGGGTTACAAATATAGTCTGTCATTTCACTAAAGTACGATCTATGAGTTACACTTCAATAATGTTGGTCTTACACAAATTACGGATAGACAGTTCTATTTCTCCTTACATTTGCAACACTTAGAGTTATTGACAAACTACAAAAATGTTTGGAATTACATGCAATTGAATTAATTGTGCTTCACAGAACTAACTTCTATTGCTTTCTACGCTCTGCAAATGATTTCCCGCTAATAGACAAAATACTAACACTTTTTTGTCAATTGAATTTAGAAACCAGTGCCCTAATACAATATGTACGGTGTGTTTTAGTCAATGACTAAGTTTAATTTACAGCTTTAGGTCACTGCTGATAGACGTATAGTACTAAACTGCTAGCTTTAACCCTTAGTCATTAATTGCAAAACTTCGCTGTTTATTTATCCAACTCACCTTAGTAAATAACGCGTTATCTTCTTGTAACTGAAATGGTGTTCTTCTGCAGATAATTTGAGTTACTTTCCCAGCTGAACCTACATCCCGTCTTAGTTTTATTTCATTGAGATGTATTGAACAAACAGAAAGCAAGGAAATGTTATTTCATTACAAATCAGCAGTTAGAATGTTAAGCTAATTATACGGTGACAGTCATACTATTTTCCTCTCTAAATTTTAGAATGGAACGTAGGGCTTCAAAAGCACATCACAATTTCACAGTGTTCTATAGTCTTACTTAGCTAACCATTATAAGTCTTAACTTCCTCCTCATACAATCTTCTCCTTATCACTCACACCCGACTCATTGTGTCTCATTCAAGTCCCACTCGACGGCCTTCTCAACACATGATGTTACTCAACAGTCTCCTTAAATTGTGTCCAATCTATCTTCCTTTCCTTACGCATATTTTTTGTGAGTGATAACTTCATAATTGGTCAGTTGCTTTATATTTTCTATCATTTATGGATTATCAGATACATTTAAGCCACAGAGAACTGTTGAATGTTGATTAAAATAATGAGCTTATAATATTACTACTTTGTGACGACAGTGACGAAATTGAACTCTGCAAGATGCAAAGCTACACTTAGAATATGCTGAAAACCTCCACGATGTTAGGGAAATGAGTAGCAAAAGTGGACAATGTAGAATACAAAACGATGCCAGGAGCTGAAAAACACTAGTTGAAACATGACAAAACCATTTCAGTCTCCTGCTAATAACACCTACTAATTCACCTATCTCGATAGATTCTTTTACACCTACCTGGTAAGTATGGAAGTCTGATATTATTATTTTGTAAATTTTTATTCTACTCAGAAAAGTGCAACCAGCAGTATCTGTTTTGTAACGATTGAATTTCTTAGTGAATGTTTAGTGTAATCGGAAAAATACCTTAGAGTGAAATGAGTTTAACTGAGAAAAATTTCCTACTCATGCCAATTATGTAACTCAGATAACAAGACTATTAAAAAAAAAAACATATATTCGAATCTTACAGCTCAAATATGTTTTTCATTTCCACAACATCTAAATGTGCGATTTTGTCATTAGTTTTAGGCAACCATTTAATGATGCCTTCCCATATCTCGCCAATGACTTCATTTTCATCTCTTTTTCCATCAGTTAAGCACAATAAAGCTTCACTAAGATTTCTATTGTAATATGTTTTGATGTGCTCTTCAAGGGTTTTGTTTCGACCAGATTCCATAGCTATTTCTGGTTGGTTTGTAAGTAAGACAAAAGTGTCAAAGTGGTATATATATATATATATATATATTAATATAAAAATATTTTGGCATACTATACGTGCAGTTTGTTGTGTGTTTTGGTGATACATAAACAAGTTATCCGTTAAGAAATTCGATACTTGGTACTTTACTTTACAATTCAAGAAGAATAAGTTGTATACTATAATTTGGATTTCCATCGGACAAACGGCAAAAGTTATTTAATTCAGTTTAGATTTTCCTGTCGACTGATTAGACCGAAGTGCTCGGTCTTCAGTTAACATGTCGTCTCCTTGCGCAGATCCTTGAATGGTGTCTGGTCATGGAACTTGAAGTCAAATAGTGGGTGGGGACTAACAGTGGAATCCAGGAAGCGCATTTCGTTCTATTTGGGACTTATCATCTAGATGTACCTGGATTTCCCATTGCGTTTATCCAGATGACGAGTCCTGATTAGGACGAAATGTGAAACCTGTTATCTATTGCTAACCACTATCAACTAATTGATTTCAAATGGTAGAAATCATTCAAATCCACTCTGTCATATATTATAATTGCAGTCCAATGAAATTCAAAGAAAGAAAATTGTATCAGAAGACTTTTTAATTCATCCATTTTAAGGGGTGTTCGTCCCATGTACAATAGTGCCTCAATGCTTGTTTTATCAAATAAAAAAGCTTGTTTACAGGATTTCATCATGAGCTGACATTAGTTAGAGAACTATTGGAAAACCTGGGAGTACTGGACAGCTGTTTCGTCCTAGTTTGGGACTCCTCAACAGTACGCTTGTTAGTGAAAATTCAACTAATAGTTGGTACCATATTGAACAACAGAGAAATAAAAACGATACAATATCTAGATTTACACAGTATAAATTATTAAGTGTAGGACTGCTTGAGATAGGATATTCTGAGTATAAGAAGACTTTCAGTAATGCCACAAAATCTTTTGAGTTAGCATGAGTGTATTCACTTGCTTTCATCTTCGAGCATCTGTACAGCTTCAGTAACCTTCAAATTATTTTTGTTCGAGTTTTGGATACTACATCTCTTTTCGTCTTATTTTTGTGTTTTAACGAAGTCGGTTATTTTGCAGCGACATACTCTTACCTAAAATTCTGTGTCAGTCTCTTACTCAGTCAGTTAGTATCCTTTATTTAGAAGCTATTAAATTATAGTTTACTACAAAGTTAATGAGACTGATCAATAAATAATTGTTTTCAACATGAATATATTGTATTTAATTATTTGTTTTCAAAATGAACTGGTATGGTTAAAGCAATTATTTCACTTCGTTAACTTCACAAAAAGCTTGTATAGTGTTTCACGTATTGTTGTATTGTAACTCAGTTTTCGGAAACCTTAGTAAATTCCTAAAATCTGTGTGTATGGAGTTAACGAATTAACTAACCAAGTGAAGATTTCGGATGAAACTTATAAATTTATTATTACCTACATTCTTCACAATTTAAGTCGCGTTTTAATTTTGTCTCAAAATTAGACGTAATAATATGGTGTTTACTACTGATAAGGATTCATAAGTAATGCACAGTGTGGTGTATTTGATACGCCTCACGTAGAGAACTGAGTGACCAACTAAAATTAGGACAATAGAAAGGTAGGAAACGGAAGAAAAAGGAAGAAACCGAAAAGTAAGTGATGCTTGATGTGGGAAATTAATTATTCATGCAAACCGAATTTTGATGTATAGATATTATATTCTCTGAATACAGTGTAAATTCCTTCGCTAACAGAAGTTCATCAAATTCCACTGCTTTTTTCCATATTCTCATCACAGTCTAAAAATTTATAAGTTTACATTTATAAAGGGCACATTTTTTAATAAGTTATCTTCAAAGATTAAGTCTATTTGTTGTTGTTATGATAGTTATTTATGTGTCAGATGGATTTCTAACTGGAACGCTAATGCAGATTGAAAATACTTTTACAGATATAATTAGTAGGAGATACTTTCATTTTAATTTTATACCAGAGCTGTTTATTCTTTTCACCTAATATTTACTGGGGAACCTCAGATTTAAAGGGAGACATTTCATGAACTTATCATTCTAATTGTTCTTATGGACTGGCTTATATAAGGCACAGTGGTACAATGCCCGCCAGCCACGCATGTGGTCCGGGGTTCGATCCCCGGCCGACGAACTCCCTTACCTCGCTAAGCCAGTAATAAGACTGGTAAAGGGGGAAGGTTGGACATGAGGCTAGCAACCCCATCCTGTAAAAAATAAACACTGCTACAGAAACTTCAAGCCTCTAGCTTGAAGCTCTGTGTTCCACTGGCAACGTAAAGGAATAAAAAGGAAAAAAATGAAATGTAGGACACATGTTTGCGCATTTCTGACTCCAGATTGATCGACACTTATTAATCTTTTTAAAAGACATGAGATTAAGTCCATCAGTTAGCCTATTACACCACAATACAACATATCATGCAGATGTTAATATACATTTTAAGATAATAATTTATATTGCCGAAAATAGTGTCAGCTAGATGAAACGGTGTCCGTAAAACTGATCATCGGAGCATTCAACAGAAGTACTTTTTGTCTGTATTACTCTTCTAGTCCGGAGCATGTTAAGTTCCATTTTCGTGACCACTATTATTCCTGTCTTCATTACATTCACTTTTCATTTCCTTTTTAAACAATGTTAGACCAGGAGCTGTAGATTTCTGTTTCTTCTTGACATTATTCAGACACTCCCCATGGATTTGTCTAACACTTAAATGCTACTGTTATTTACCATAAGAGTTATTATTACTGTTTACATGATTTCAAGTGACGAATCCACACGTTGATTTTGTTACCATGGCTCATTCATTTCATCCCATACATCTGCTTCCCAAATCGCATTCTCTTACGAACCACATTTATGAAAGTAGTACAAGTGACGCTTATACTAGATAGTTTACGTTATTTAACAAAACCGAATTGATTTAATTTTCAAGTGACAACCATATTTCACATAGAAAGGTGCTTGCAATGTAACTAATACTCATAATAATATTGATACTGACTTACATTTTTTATTCCTTTACATTCCGAGTGCAACATGGGGCTTCAAGCTAGAGCTTTGATGTTTCTGTAGCAGTTATTTTGTACGGAGTGGGGTTGTTGGCCTCACGCCCAACCCTCCCTCTTTACCGGATTCACTACAGGCTTGGTGAGGTTTAGGAGTGCATCGGCCAAGGATCAAACCCCGGACCTTATGCATGATTACACATGTCGAAATACTGACTTAATAGTGACAAGAAAATTGAAAAACAATTAAAAGAATATTCTTTGTGATGTCAACCTGTATTTCATTACGTAAGGAATATTTAATTATCAGGACATCTTTTCTATTTCACGATGGATAAATAAATGATTCATAAACAATCCTTGCTGAAGCATTCATGAAAAACGAAACAAATAGTTTCCTGATAGTGTATTTTTTCGGGCGATTTCATTTCCTTTAGCTGTACGGTCGCATTTATATACATCTCTTTTATAAATGGGATTTTAACAAAAGAGATGAGTTGTCGTAGTCCTACTTGCTAATAATAATCAATTTATGAGAGAAGTCGAATGAGAATGATAGAGTTGTGTAATCAAGTTGCAATTTTAATGGAATTACATTCAGGATGCCAATAAAAAGGAAGGAAATGTGACATCAAGTAATGGTGTTACCGAGTCATTTTGGCTTACCAAAAATACAGAAAGATGGTCCCTTCTTCCATCCAATTCTAGATATATCAGGTTCCTCTTACTATTCATTTGCAAAATAGCTAGGTGATAATCTAGAACCTATAAATCAAGATATATGTGCCAACTAGCTATGAGACACTTTCGTTTCATTGAGTGCATACAGTATACGAGAGTCTCTAATAAAAGCATCCTATTTCTCGATATCAAACTTCTTACGGAAAGCCTTTGCTTTATATGCAGATGTAAAGATGAAACCCAGTTGAACATCAGAAAACCAAGAGCGTATTTAAACAAACTGCCCAAGAAATGTGCCTTTTGAATACAAATAGCATTAAATGAAAACATTTACAGGAAAACAAGATGGAGCTCTCAGACTGTTTTAAGAAGAGTTTAAAGAATGACCTATTAAATTTAATTACTGATGTTTGAAATTTGGATGACATTTTTATTGCTTGTGATAAAAATTTGGCTTTAATAAGTCGTTACACCTATTTAATAACTTCTTTCCGAAATGGAAAACAAGCCTAAAAATACCACTCTTAGTGCTGAGCTGACAAGAAGGGACGGCGGAATCTAAAGAAGGACTTCGCATAGGAAAACTATATGGAACTGTCAACTAGCAAGTTTCTGCAGCTGATTACCGATTGAAAGGAGACAAAATTCACTTATGTGGCTTGCCACTCGTGTCCGACGTTTCCACAGTCTTGACACTCTATAATAATAACCAGGCCTTCTGAAAGCATTCTTCAGCCGAAATGGATATCAACTGGTATTTCTTGACAAGAGCGTCAAACCAGAAATTCCAAAAAAGACTTTACATGAATTTTCATTTCAATAGTAACCCTGCATATACTGATCTGCAAAAACTTGAGAGGCTAAACCTTCATCTAACCACTCCTATTTGCATACATCAGTTTACCTGTTCCCGTGGAGCTAAGTATGTTGATAGTTTGACTCATATGGTGTCTTAAAGGGTTAATGAACATTATCACATTGTTTCTTTCTTCTGCCTACACCAGTAAATATGCTGGCATCTACTTTTCTAACACCTTTAAATACTGTTCAATTTTGGCTTTGCTACCGATATGCCAATATGTTGTTGTCATAATGAACTGAGATTTCCATAATCTATGTAGAATTTTATTTATTGATAATGTACTAACTGGGTGCAATAGTGTAGTAAAATGCTGAGAATTCCATTCTGTACCGCAAGTACTGTTTTGGAATAAAGCAAATTATTGTTATTATTATTGCAGTAAAGTAGCAGCAGCTCCATAAGCAATGCAGTAGTCGAACATCTTGTCGACACTAGTCATTACATTTCAACAAACTCCTTCTTTATAATTATCAAACGAGTTAAGAACGTCAATATATTACTGTATATTATATATTACCGTTAATTTTACTGTACAATACTGTGTGATTTATCAAAATAAAATCTTATCCATAATCGAGTTAAGAGCGACCTGCTAAAGACAATGAACTTTCTGCTGTTGAAGCTGTACCTATTCAGAGAGAAAAAGCGGAACTCTGCATACAAAAGAGAATTCTTAGATCGATTCCACAGCCGTGATTGTGACCATGTTCTATCTTTTGTAGCTCTTAAGTAATATCACGTTTCCATTGCTTTTGTTTGCTTCTTGATTAAAACCAATTCATCATTACGCAACTAGACGACCCGTATTATAATCCTTTCGTATATTGGCTAATATTAGCAATTGTATTTATTACAGTTTATCACTCTCCTTACTATCTTCTTTGTGAAGAAGTCGCATATAAATGAGATTGTTCAGCTAAATTGCATATAAAAAAGACGCTTCACCGGGCTGTTTATTTAGGTTTCCACTAAATCTTCTGCATCCAAATCGTGACATTTGTCAAATGAGTATTGGCTTCTGAAACGACAGGGGCGACATGAAGGATAAAGTGAGAGCGGGCACTATCTAAAGATCTACCAGCTTTCATATTTCATAATCGGTGTTACAAAACCAGGCTTGGCTATGTCATCACCACTAACTTCATTAAGAACATGATCCTATTTAGTGGCTACATGCATATTCAGACTGATTATCACACCTTATCAACTTCATTAAGTTTGAAGAGGAAATAATAGCTTATGGAAAATTGTAAAGCTGGTTTCAAAGTTTTGAACGAGAAATGAGTTCAAAGAACCTTTTTGTTCCGTTCAGAATGAAATGAATAAGCGATTAATAACAATGAACTTTATTCAGATATATGTCATAATTTTCCTCAGAGCGAGTGACTGATGCAAAGAGTTACAGAAATACCTTTAATTTACAAAATACGTGAATTAATCTATTACTGTTCGGCAGATAAGAGTGTTCTGTTGAGACCTAATAAACAGTAAATCCATAAGAAGTAACATATGATACCGCTAATCCGTGCGTGCAGAGGAATAGTCAAAAAATTAGGTCTAAATTTTCATCTAGTAGTTTTTGGTTGTAAGTGATTCTCTAAGTAATGTCAGTGAGTGATGAAATCTACCTTGATATGCACAAACGAATATATAAAAACTATTTTCTTTTAAATGATCATTAAATACGTAAATTAGTGATATTTGCTAAGGGATTATTGAGTTATTCTATTAACTGAATATTTTCAAATGTTTCACAAATTCGGAAAAAAAAACTAATTAACAAATTACCATTAAAGACTTTCTCAACTACTTCAATTTCAGAATTCCAAAGGGTCAAGAGGATTTTAGACACTGTTTCAGTTTCCAGCTTACTAAGTGCCGTGAGCAAGCGTCTTGCCAAAAATACCGGTGAATCCATTAGCAAACCTTGAATTAGGCGTTCGCACGATGACGGAATAAGACCTGTGATGCGGGTTTTTATTGGCTGTGAACAGAAAATAAACACGTATGAATACAACGTACTGGTAATATATAGCTTCAGTACACATCGATGTTTGCAACTTCAGCATAAGCTTATTTACATACTAAATTAAGGCTAGCTGCATTAAATGGCCCGTCCCTAGATTATTTGAATGTAATCGAATAAATGTATGTGAATCCTGTCTGACTCACAGCCATATGGGTTTGAGTAACTTAGAAATAGTCCTTATACATTCAGCATTGATAACTGCGATAAAAATAATGAAGAACATCTGTTGAATATGACGGTGTAAATTGATAAACACCAACGCTGGTTAGCATTTTTTACAATCTTGTTTTGCAAATACGTTTGTAAGGTTATTGAATTACTTAATTTAGGTATAGACTTTATTCCTATTCTCTTATATCTAAAATATCCTTTGTCTTAAGAGATCCCCTTCTTTACAACCGACCAGAACGTTAGAGACTATTTTTCTCTATACAGTTTCTAGCAATTTTATGACAGTGCAATGAACTTTATTTTGCGTGATGATGAAACACGGTTAAGTCTCTAAAGAAGTATACAATTACCTAAAATCACAGATACACTACTGATAAGCTAAATCCAAGGTTTAATTTTCCCTTATGACTAAGCTGAAACATTTGACTTTGAAATCTGAGATATACGTGATCATTTGAATCAAGAAGGGCTTGGATTACAGTACATAGTATTCATCAGGGAATCTGAAAGACCAGAAATGAAGTTGTAATGAAATATTTTCAGGATTTTTTGCAATGAGCATTAAAATACCGTAGTATTTCATATAGTAACTAAGTACATGAATTACAGAGAGCACTTTTAACCCTACTGAAACGTTTTCAGTCGAAAAAAATGTATTCACTGAAGCGCTTCACTCCTTATTTACTGTAAAATTTCTTGAAGATTGGGGAAAGTTTATGCTTTTAATCCGACTCGTATCTATCAATCTATCTGGTATGTGAACAGTGATGCAGAGTTTATCAAACTCCATTAAACTTTAATTCAGATTTAAACAGATGAAATATGCGATCCACTGTTTAAACTAGGCTAATCTAAAAAGATATGATATATATATGTATATATAATTGTTTGGAAAAGTATTTTCACATACTCTAGTGTATAATGTATCATAAACGTCCACAATCATTTGTCTTTCATAATTCGGTTTGCTTGACATTGTATCAACCACCGTATCCGCTTCTGTAAATAAATGAAATCTAGTTCTTAGCAAAAATGTAGTTCACTTACTAAACACTGAATAGGAATGTATGTGAAATAAAAATTCAACAGATTACTTCTTATTGTTTAAGATAAAAAGGATAAAATTATCCTTAGTTCTCACCTAATTATCCTTGATCCTGTACAGCTAAGCTACTAAATGATATGATTACCATATATATATATATATACTGTCTCCAACACTGTGATGATGACCTGATTATTGGTCAAAAGCTTTGTCGAAAGAATTCAAGGTCTTAAAAATATTGCCATCAGAAAAACAATAGCCAAAAATATTCATCATTTTAGAAGTCATGTAAATAAATGTATACGCATGGTGCTTTTACATTTCACTTTTTGATGATATAGTCTAAGTAAATGACCTGAAAACTGAAATATTCTCAAATGAAGGTGCAAAGTGTTTCATTAGGTCAACACTAAGCCATATAGAATAACGACACAAAAGAATACCTATATAATACTATTGTCATTGCATCAAAATAAGGTGCCTTTTATGCGCCAAACAGAATTACAAGTTAAAAAATACGTTTCAGTATTTCCTATATATATATAAGCCACCTACATATGTATAAATGATAAATATCTGTCTCTCAGAGCCCTTCTTTAGGTAAATAGTGACCACTAGATAAATGTAAGTAGAGGTAGCCTTTGAAATTTAAGTAAATTGTTAACAGATATTTTAGTCTTTCTAGAGCCGCTCTTAGTTGGTAGGTACTACAGTGCTAACAGTTACTATTTTCAAATCATGAGTCAAGTTTCATGCTGTTCTTTAGCCCCAGTATTCATTAATAGTGATCGAAAACTAGTATTTGTATCACGCTTTTAATGCAATAATGTTTACTGCTTAGCTTTCAGGTATATCAAATAATGATCGTCACCAGTAGTATGCAATCAACTCATTCACCCAAGTAAAAAAATAAATATGACCTTTCAGCTATTAGAATTCCTATCCATAAAAATCACTAAACTCCACTACATTTCTTTATTTTAGTCATCCAGTTACATTAAAAGACTATTACATGAACTTGCGCGCATATTTAATTTGCTTTCAATAGGACGCTGTACAATTTTTGAAGGTAATGAAGAGAAAATTTGCACAATTAGTTTACTTTTCAGGTGCAGCAACACCACGTCACATAGTATACTTCAGATTATATATGTCGGATTAAACAGTATATTAATTGAAATGTGCTCAAATGTTTTTAACTAACTTGCATCATCTAAGCTACGAAATATTAAATCAGCTTTTATATATGCTGCGGATCGTATTGACGCTTCATACCATGACCCAGTACCGTCCAAACCGTCTAATATCCATGGTTCTCTTTCAAATCTGATAAATACAATTAAGTGTGGAAAATGAGAGAGGAAAGAAAGCTTTCATCAATTAAATGTCAACATAAACTAGACGACAATAAATATTTTAAGACAAACTATGAAAATAAATAGTCTCATGCACTAACTGGAAATGACATCGACTAAGACTTTTAGTCTAGTCTAGTTTGACATTTAATAGCAAACTAGTTGGAAATCCGTATTTTTTTAAATACCTTGCAGACTGAATAATTTGTTTAATAATCCTCAGTTAAGGCGGATGAGATTATGGTAATACTGTTCAATAAACAAAAGCCAGTACGCGTAATGATATGTACATATAAATACATTTCAGTTATAGTTTAATACAGTAACTGATGACGTTAGTCACCTAAGTTAAGGTAAAATTACTAATATGGTAATTACTAATCCAACTTCTGAATGGTTGGTAAGAAGAGTTATATTTTCTTGTTATATAATTCATTGAAATCACCTGAAACACCATCAAGACTATTCACTGATTGAATATAAATGTCCAAGTTAAAAATCTTTAGGAATTTTGATCACTTTTTCTGCAGACTTCTTCATGAACCAAAATCAGTCGTGACCAGTAGGGTGCAGCAGGTCGGGTGTGAGGACAAATACTCGCCGAAGACATTGGCTAGCGGTTGCGCTACGTCATGAATTGGCAGAAGTTAGAATTCATGGGCCATTGGATCGGGTCCCAGTGGCTTAATGGTATACGACCTCGCCTTGTAACCAGGAGGTCCTGGGTTAGAACCCCGGTAGATGCATATTGCTGAAGAGTCCAAAACTAGGACGAAACAGTTGTCCAGTACTCCCAGGTTTTCCAATGGTCCTCCAACCAATGTCAAATCATGATGAAATCCTGTAACCAATTAGGGGATCACTAAAAACCGAAGAGCAATAAACAGCTGTTTTCTTTCAGCCGGAGACTCTTCGATGGTGCACACGGATAACCCCACCACTGACTGAACCCACGAAATTTTGGGTTATGGGCCCGCTAACATATTAACTGCTGAGTTGGAATCCAACTACCCTTGAATTTTAACCGTTGTCAATTCAGCATGTGGTGCCACCATTTATGAATGTCAGTGATGTGAATATGATTTTCACTCATCATATTACACTGTACAGGCTACGAATTCTCAGTAAAACTTCAAGGTATGTATCCTATAACCAATAATAAGCAGGACTTGTATAATTCTGATTGGTTTCATTGTCGATTCGGCTATGGAACAAAATCTATGCTGTTTGTTTTCAGAGATTCTGCAACTTGGTTTGGTTTGTAAAGAAATCTACTTCAGAACACATCTGTATTAAATTAAGGTACAAACCTTTCATGGCGAGTAGTACAGAAATCCAATATGTAGACTATTATGTTATCAAGACATGATACAATAAATTAACTGGACGCTACGTTTTAAAAATTTACACTTAATACATAGATAAGGCGAGTGTAAGAGAATCAAAGTTTTATAACAGCTACCACGAAGATTATCGTCAGTGTATACTGCATGAAGTACCTCAGTAAAACCCAACAGACTAGTGACGTAAAAGCGAAATATGGTTTAAGCTCGACATCCTACTGATCTGTTTAAAATAATCTAAAGTCTGACAAACTGACATAACGTGGTTTGTTCGACGATTCGATTTTATAATTTACTTTTCATATGTTACTGTGAAGTTCAGTAGAGAATGTAGAAATTCTTATACCCTAAATATAATGATATAAATAACATTTACACTTGTCGTTTTCAAATATTAACCACAATTTCAGTCTCAGTAATTAAAACAAACGCTTTTCCATACTGTGTTCACCACTTTGAAATAAAAAGGGATTTCTGTTTTTAAAAATTAAGTAAAGACTGTTCTGATAAGAGAATATTTTTCGACGAACACCGTTCCCATGCAAAATTAGATAAGAAATTGAGAGCTGAAATGCTTTTTTCAGTTCAGTAATAGAACACACTTTCAACCCAGAGGATTTAATTTCGTGTAGACGTATTTTCTTTAAAAAATTCTCACAGTGTTCGGCTAATTCAGCAAACTACACACAATTTTTATTATTTTTTTCTTGACCATTTTGATCATCTTAGACAACTGTTTTTCTCAAAATACTTAATTATACTTACTTTCATTTATGAATTCTCATTAGCACTGTGCAGCTCCCATTTTTATATTAAATACGTATGATTTCTAACAAGAAATGACTTTGAAACATTTTACTACTACAGGGGCATTTTCAAGAATGTAAAGCCCAGTAAATGAGTTTGAAAAACAGTTTTAGTAGTTATATCCGTCTACTTTGTATCATCTCTGACAAACATTTGCTACTATTCATTGACTAAGCAATTACAATTGTTTTAATAGAGAAACACGTTAAAACAGTTAAATTTTAATTCATTGGAGGAAAACATTGTAGTTACATTTTTTGAAAATGCAAGGCGTTAATCATTAAATCTAAACAAATTGAGTATTTCCAATGAATGACTCTTTTTTCAATAATAGGAAATTAGACAATAGTTGAGCTGCGTTCTATTTCTGTAATCTCAGTGTCTATGACCAAAATATTCTAGTGTTAAACAGACTTTTAAAACTTAAAAGATCCACAGAACATCGGGTAACTTACAGAGACGGAACTTCCCACTGGGATGTCTGTAAAAGAAATGGTAGAGCAATTTGAAGTTTTCACCAAGAAACGAGCGCCTCAAAGTATGTTTATAATAACTAACAACTTTGATGGTTGTATGGGATTTAAACAATGTTTTTAAATTTAAGCATAAACACAAAAGTTCTTTTAGGTGGAATTTGATTTTAAAACATTTCCTTACCATTTCAGTGCAGAGTATTAGCAAATAAAATCTCTGTGAACTCAAAAATAATCAGAAATTTAGGTTGAATAATAATTGGTCAAAAATGTCCAGCTTACTTTTCTGTATTTCAAGGACTGTTTAGTAAAAAAGTTAACAGTGCATTAGGTATCTAAAAATGATCGTGTTGACATTAAGGGATGATACGCAGAATACCCGCAACTTCTATAGTATTCGTTCCGCGTAGACCAAAGGCAAAGCAAAACACAATAATTGATCGGCCAAATTACGAATTATATTTCGGCACCAAATCGGATTGAGAGGATGATTGCTTAACTATCTAGGGATCGTGCACGAACGAACGATTGGAACACGGCAAAGTGACAAATGGCGTGGGTTCTTGACCGCAAGCTTTCAGCCAGACAGATCGACTGAAGCAGTGAAGGTCAGCATCCAATGTTTAGTGATGAATGCTGTGGCCAATAATTCTGGGAATTACCTACCGCTACACACCTAAACCTGGAAATTAAGAGTGACACTGAGAGTGAAGTACTTACAACGAAGTCATTAAGGGAGATGGTTTTGCTAGCATTACACAAACAACCTACTTAAATTGTCCTCTGGTGTACTCGAAACATACCCTGCAACAATCCATGACATCTGTCAACTTGTTTGAGGAAAGGAGAGCTCAGTGTCACTAGTTCATCTATGCTACAACATACTGGAGATAGTAACAACATAGTTTTTGATGTATCCTGCAACGTTGTTTACGAGGTGAGGAGAAATTTGCAACGCGTCTGATGTGCATACGTAAAGTAAAGACAGTGTCTTGTACACAAAACAATTTGTAAGACCATTTTCATCACCTTAGACGTCAGTGGCACAGTGGTTAGGACTCTCGCCGACCATGCACATGGTCCGGGGTTCGATCCTCTGCCGACGCACATCTGATATCTATGGTCGGCCTGCGAAATTTGGGCTACCGATATCGTAGGCTGAAAATTCCATACTTGTACCAAAAATACAGTGTGGAATCAAGCTGTAAATCAAAAATAAAAAATAAATAAAGAATAAAAATAAAAAAATTTTGTTTTGTGTTACATAGTAATTCATACATTCTTTATTCCATGTTATTTTGTCTCGTTTTATTTCACTTTGCACCATCACGTTTTAAAATTGTATTTTTACACTTTTCTTAATTTCCCACCTTATAATACTTCACCTGAGAAATCAGCTAATTCACATTTCTCGTTTCAAAATGAATTTAAATCCTACATAAAAAAGCTATCTCACCAACTATTTACTCATATCTATTAACCTTTTTACATTCACTCATTTTTTTTTCATAATCAGTTTATCCTTCATAATCATCTGAAATAACATGGTGTTTAGTGACAATGATATATTTGGGGAACAATCTTTAGGTCGCCCAACAACACAAAATTCTTATTTACTTAGTTTCATACACCATTGAGTGATTGTATACGAATTTATGTACGATATGACTGTATATCATTCTATTTAAGGTATGAAAACGAACCAATTTTGAATGTAATAGAAAAAATTCATCTGACTGAATACTCACCACAAAGCTACATAGACTTAATGAAATAATAATAGCTCTGAGGATCATGACTTCTGTTAACATTACAGAAATTGTGAGGAAAGAATGAAGTACAAGAATTTAAAGTAGAAATTACATTCCGAATGTAAGAGTATGATTGGTTTTCAGTATAGCCAATCAGATGAGCATACATGTTCATATGAATTTGAAGTTGCTTTTTAATGTGCTGCATATTGAACTAGGTTATACCCTTAATATTCATTTCTGTTAAATAGTAACTCTTATTTTAAAATTTACTTTTCAGTGACTATGAATAAATTTCAAAAATTGCCCATTATATTAGTAGTTTTAAATTGGCTACGCGAATGTTCACACCATGCTATGACAAAGATATTTCTAGGCAAAAATGAACATGAGCTACAATTTTCATCATACTGTGTTATCTCTTTTTATTCTTTCAGAATAGTTAGAGTCACTAAGTTCATATTACATAGTAACGTTAGAAGACATCTTAACGTAAAACAAAAAAATATCCTGGAAGTATACTTAATAGTTTCATTGCAGACTACATCGCGAATGAGTGTCAGCCGAAGGATTTTTGAAACCCAATTGGATTTCTGATACAACTTCACTGGCTGTCATGTTCCAACATTCATAACACCTGATGATGTTACTGAAAACAATTTTTCGTTCATGTTTCTCTTGCTCTGAATAACATTAGGTAGCTTTCTCTTGCAAACTTTAGACCATCCTGAGGTGTGCATCCACAACCCTAAATGAAAGTAAGCTTGTAGGCACTGGAACAATTGGAAAAGATAGGATTCTTCACAAAATATTTTGCAAGCATTCTCTAGTATCACCAGAGATCAAATGTCTAGAAGCTTAACTCATTTTTACATAGTCAATAACCTCCAACAATACACCTTGAGTTCAATCTGTGAGGGAGGTGAATATGTTTTTGATTGTTATAATTGTCAATGGTTTGCTGACTAATGGGGTATCTTATAGAAAATTGAAGCCAACTCTACCACTGCTGACCCTGAAGTTTTATTTTTCATGACAACATTAGCCAACTTTCAACATCAGCTTGTGATTCCCAGCTAGCATTTTTTTCGGGCGCATTGCAGACTTTTTGGAGCAAAAACTTCGGGTAGATCTACTTACGTGGGACACTGTCCCTAAGTCTGCCCCAAAACGTCTGCAATTTGCCCTAGGTATGCCCAAGATGTCTGCAATGCGCCTGAAGTCTGCCCCCCCCAAAAGTCTGCAATGCGCCCTAACTTACTATGACAAACTACAACCTGGGATAACGCGCCTACGATTCCGCATTTGACTATGAGACGACAATTAAATCAGAGTCAAATGTATTACGTACACAGGTCGCCTCAAAATACAACAAACTAGCAGCAGCTCAACGACTCACGATATCAAAAAACAGTTGATTGTAATTGAAAATATATTTTACAAACTTGGCAAAGGAATTTACAATCTTTAGACAAGTCATAAAAATAGAACATCCTATAAGTCACCAGAAAAATATATCCGTGTGCTTTCGGCGTTTGGTATGTTCTCTTTGTTGACGTCGGCGGTGACCTGAAAATGAAATATGGAAAAAATAAAGACCTACCAAAAGGGAACACCGTCACCTTCTCATCCTCGACTTCAGTCTGTCCCGACTGTTATGGAACCAACGTTGAACTGAAGCCGTAATAGCGTTCACTGTGCTACGTCGGTCAGCATTACCTAGTTGATGTAAACTGCTAACAGTTCCTAGAAAAACAACAATGAAAAAAATTCACCTATGTATCACAAGGCTACACGTCTTCGTGTCCTTGAACTTTTTTTTTTTGCTTGGTACCAGCCCATGAAAAATGTGAGCTATGTCAGCTGACACATTTGCCACCCATATTTAAGATCACTATTCCCTATTTTTTAATTTTATGTTTCGTTATCAATGTTTTTCGTCTCTTCTTGTCAAACAAACCAGAAATATACTAACACCGTATGGGAACGAGTGACTTTTAATTGTAAGTCTTTGATACAGTCATATTTCTACCCATCTAAATTACCGTCTAACAAAAACAGATTCTTATTAAAACAATTAGTCCCTTTGATAAATTTGAATAAGGCATTAAGAAGACAAATTTCGCGAGATGACATCATTTCGTAGTTTCTTTACAACCGCTTTACAACTAATATGGTTAACAATGATAAAATAAAGATCATGACAATTACTCAGTTAAATAAAAAACACGAAAGTACATACTAATGACCAATCATATTTAAATAGGTCATGTAGTCCATGGTAGGCGAAGATTGAAGTCTATTCTTTTCTATACACACAGTTTAGGTTGTATGTGATTAATCCAAAGGGCTTCTATCACCTTCAATAACCTTGAGTTAGAGTTATAAGAAATAATCGTGAAACAGACAGTAATATTGATTTTGTGACCTGATATTATTAAATGTTTTGCAATGGATGATGCTGGATTTCTATTCAGATTAATCGCATTGGGATTTTCTATATGATTTAATAGCCATTTTGGAACATGTTCTTTTCGACGACATTGGAACATTCTTTTGGTTCTACCTATATAAGTGTCACCGCAACTGCAGGTGAACTTGTAGATACAGTTTGAAGTAGAGCACTTTGGATTAATCACATACAACCTAAACTGTGTGTATAGAAAAGAATAGACTTCAATCTTCGCCTACCATGGACTACATGACCTATTTAAATATGATTGGTCATTAGTATGTACTTTCGTGTTTTTTATTTAACTGAGTAATCGTCATGATCTTTATTTTATTATTGTTAACCATGTTAGTTGTAAAGCGGTTGTAAAGAAACTACGAAATGATGTCATCTCGCGAAATTTGTCTTCTTAATGCCTTATTCAGATTCTTATTAGACGATTGAAGGCGACCGTCAGGAAGCCCTGGACCTAGGTTTCGTGCTTGTTGACAGTCGTCCGCAATGCGCATATGCATCTTGAAGAAACTAGTGATCTTCCTGCCAACTGCCTCCAGTTATCTAATAAAACTGTCCAGAGTGCACCATGATGGCAGACCAACCAGAATGGTGGCCACATTGCAAATTTGACTGGTGGAATTCAGTCTGCACAAAACGAAGTACTAGGTGCATGACACTAGTCACTTAGTGCCTAGTGTTCAACTAAAGCAAATAAACAGATCCAGTTGGTTTGGCTTTGAAAACTAAACACGTTAAACAAAATGGCTACATTTTCCTCATTGGTTTACAATTAATGTCGATATTTCAGTGACAGTGTTTGTGTTATAAGGAAGAAATAGTGATGCCATACTCACAAGCCAAAAAATCCGTTTTTATATGTAAACACGCGTGTCAGTTTGTATGAGCTCTTCTAAGAAC